AAAAGGGGCATGAAGGAAGAAGGAAGGCATCTCGAAATAGCTTATCTCTTAAACATAACTGAAAGAAATCTTTTGTAATCTGTATACATCACTTGTATTCAAAAAAAAATATTAGATAGCTTGAAGATAGGAAAGCGTGTAATAAGGTAATCACTTATGGAGTTCTAAACTTCATAAGGTGAGTACCAAAGGTATGTAAATATAGTTTGTAAGTATGTACAATTTCAATTTATGAATATCAAAGTAAAGTTTGTTATGTTCAACAAAGCTTACATAAAAGGATTTCGTTAAGTTTCTCATGATTCCTCGGCAGTACAGATAGAGATTTTAAAAGATTTTCAAAACATTGATTTTGAATGAATGTTAGCCATGCCAAAATACCCATATTTGATGAATGGTTTAGGGGAAAAGGGCAATTTTCTAACAAAATTGTAGCACCTTGTGTGTGAGTTATCTTTTAAAGTTTCGTTCCAAGTAGGAACTTGATTCTGAAAAGAGTTTGGATAGAGGTGAAAACAGAGACTTTGGATACTGTGAGATAGCGTCTGTGGAAACACGGCTAGTTCTCTAGAATGAGAAATGCAACCTTAATTGAAAAGATTTTTGCGGAAGCAGTTGTGGACCCAAATGATTTCAAAACATTTTAAAACTTTACTTGATTCAGAAGATTAATTAAAGTACATGCAAAACATTTATAAGAACATACTGGAGGGAAAGTCTGTTTATTTTCACTTGATTACTGTAAGTTATTTACTTATTTTTACATGCTTATGCTTTAATTATTTTGATGAATAATTCACATGCATCTACTTCCACTACTAATGATGATATTAATCTTATTTTATTTTTAGATGAAAAAGATGTTTCGTTCTTACTTAAATTAGATGAAAAATCTGATGATATATTTCTTGTTGGTAAAGAAAAAATTGAAGAAATATATAGAGATATAGATTTTAATTGTAGAAATAATATAGGATTTGATTCTGTAGGAACTAGTAGAGAAATAAGAAAGGTAGAAGATATCATAACCAAACATAGAAATATACAAGAAGAAATTTCAGAAGGATTATTTAAAGAGTATATAACCAAGAAAGGTCAACCTATAATCTTTAAAAAACTATTAAAATATAAAGAATATTTAAAGGCGTTCAAAAAATTGAAAAATATAGATATATGTCCTAATTGATAAATCGTTAAAGATATAAGATAGATCTTACAAATAATTTTAGTAAGGATAAAATAGTACTTTTAATAGGAAATGCTATTATGAAAAATAGGCTCAATAATTCAGCCAATACAAAAAACTACCCCTTCATCTTCTACCATATCTACGGTTAATTATAAATGCACGACATTTGCTGTTGATAATATTGTGTTAAAAAATAAGTATCTTATTTTTAATGTGTGCCCATCTACTTTTCACATAAGCCACACATTTGAAAAATAAATCACTGTTCCTCTAGAGACTCCAATTCCAGTCCCGTGTCAATCCCTCTTCCCCTCTTTCAATCTATTTGAAATTAAATGTTACAAAAGTAGATGATTGAAAATTGAAATCATGAAAAAAAGTTGCTTTTAAACACGAACCAAATGGTCGAAAGTTGTCCTAATTTACATAAGAAAGTAAACAGATATAAAAAAGCAGGAATTAAAATAGAAAATATTTAAAGCTTCTCGAGTTCTTCTGTGTTGAAATCACTGGGTGGTGGAACCTGTTCATGAGGAAGCCCTTTAACGCCTTCCTCCATTTTCACTTTTTCCTTCTCATCTTCACTTTCTCTAAAAGCGTGTTTCCTTTCATCTCCAACTGTAGGCTTATGGCCGACTTCCTTGATTGAATTCTTTGGTCTTTTCCTCCATTTCCATGGCTATATTTTCCATTAAATGCGATTCTCTCTCTCTCTAATGAGAAAAATGATAGTCTTGCCATGTGGTATTGGTACAACACCTGGAAGCAACGTGGCGTTCCAGTAGCATGACACAGACGAATAAGCATAAAAAAATAAGGGAAAAAGCCAAACCGATCGGATCCTCACATGGCCAACATAGGTCTCCCGTGAATAAAATAATCGCGACCCCATGTCTGTGTATTATATCAACCATATGGCCATCCGGACGGGATATGTAGCTCGATCAAAAATAAGAGCCCTGCTTCACTTGGCCCTGCAGTTGTATCTTTATTCAAAAAATAATGATAATTGACATAAAACAGTTTCATTTTCTACATGTTTTGAGTAAATTAACTATGAGTTTGTTTGGTAGGAATTTTAATAATTAATTTTTTGACCGTTAGATATAAAATAGGTTCTATCTGTGAAAGAAAAATTCAAAAATGACGACTGAAATAGTGAAATCAAGGTCAAAAAATTGATTTTAATTGGTTTTTAATCCGTAACAAACAAGCACTATATCTTTTATTTTGGTGCAATATTTTTTAAGATTACGCAAACATTATGCAAAACGCCCCCGGTAAAATGATAAATTTATTGTATTCTTTAAATAAACAAAAAAAAAATAAAGAAATAATTATAATCAGAATTCAAAATCTTTTCAAAAAGTGTAATGAGTTCAACTTTTTTTTTTTTAAAAAAGAAAAATACTAAAAATAAAAGGTTCATCTTTCCAATCTATTTTTTTTTTTTAATAGGATTATGAATTAGAGCGTACATATTTTTTATTAATTAATATTATATCATATAAATTAATTATTTAAATAGATTGAGGAACTTGAGAGAGAGAGATTAACGTACCATATTTGTTACGTTTGTCTGATTTTTCATTCAAAATTGATATTATTTAAACCAAATAAATTATTGACATGAATAGAAATTGTGCTTATTGTTTTGCGTTTTTCAAAGTGATAATTGTTATAATCACATTTGCAAACATGGTCGTCGGTTCGACCGTTCTCTTTTCACAGCACAAATATATTTTTGTCTCTTTCTTTTTCTCCTGATATTTTCTTTTCTATTGTTTTTCAGTTTCAAAATTGGATTTTAAAACGGCTAATATAAATTTGCTCTGCTTTTGTATTTACTTTGCTATATCGTAAATTGTTTTTCACGAAGTATGATATAAATTGCCATTTAGGAAACAATTTTTTGGAAAAAAGAAAGAAGTGTTGTTATCTGTTTTAGTAAAGAAATCATTAAATATAGATATTTTAATAATTAATTCAAACAAACACTATGCTAAAGACATAAAAAAATTGTTACATGTCATACGTGTTAGGTCACATGGAAGTCAGCTAAGTAAAGACAAAGCAATAGGCCATGTAAGGTTCGCATTTCACTCCAGCTCACTTCCCCACATCTCTATGAGGTCGTTGGGCAAATTTTTGAAGTGATTGACCACCACTCGAAGTACACAATATATTCCCTCTGAATTGTTCTTCCCAGGTGATAATACTTGTGTTGAAGTGGCACTTCTGAGGTTATGTGCCTCCTATTGCAGTGCATCTTCAAGATGGTTGATATCTTGTGAATGGTATTCTTTACATACACCACATCCATGAAAAGATATTCCATATAAAATACTATGTGTGTCTGATATATTTGACGCTTGCGATATTGATGAGTTTGTTTTACTCACGAGTTTTACAAAATTTTAACTTGATTATCCATTAGATCTTAGGAGTATAGAAGTTTTTTTTATGTGTTTTTTAATGTTGTTTTGAAGATTAAGAAAGGCAGTGTAAAAAGAGGTACTAAAGTGGATGAAAAAATCAAAAATTGCAGAATTTGGAGCAGAAATGCAGCGCCTAGGCGCTGCGCTCATAGTGCGCAAGCGCTACGAGACTCAAAAAACAAAAAATTGGGCCTGGGCACTGCCATCAGCACTTGGGCTCTGCATGTGTAGCACTTGGGATCTACAAGCGATTCTTCGTAGCGCTTAGGCGCTGTACCGTAGATCGTTTGGAGCGCGTTTTTGGCCCATTTTGAAACCCATAAAAAAAGTAAAAAAAATACCCATACACTAAACACCAATGGGAGGAGAAGTATTAACACAGTTGGAGATTATAGAGAAGTATTCAAGGGACGAAATCAACAAACAATTCAAGGTTTGTAGCATTGATAGGAAGAGGAAGAAGATCTTGATGCAAAATTTATAATTTTTCTTCTACATCTTTACTACAAATCGGGTGATGTATTCTAAGACAATTTATTGTTTTTCTTTCCTTATGAATAACTAAATTTATTGTTAGGACAAATAATGTAACCCAATTGTGATCCTTTTATATATTTTTTTTATAAAGATTCTTGATTTTTATTGTTCTATGTGTTGATTTTACTATGGATTGAATGCATTAAATTACTTAATCACTAATTTGATGATTTTGTGAATCCTTTACTAATAGAGATATGAGTTTAGGATTTATATCATATAGTAAAACTTGGTAAATTGGTATAACGAATAGATATACGTATACTAATTATCACGGTCATATTTGAATTTTTAGGACAAAAAACTCGTTTAACTAAGTTAGATTCGCATAGAAATATGGAATTAAATTAGTTAAATATGTTTAATGAAAACTCGAGAGGGGTAAGTGGTATCGGAGCTTTTATCAAATGGTGGTTAAAGAAAAATTAAATTAAGTGTTAGAGTATAGTCCTTGTGGAAATGACAATTCGAACTCTTAGGTCCATTATACTACTTGTTACGATCCATACACTTGTGAGAATAAAATTGACAACAAACGTCTATGCGAAATTTTCAGTACTTTTCATGTTACCTTTATGACATATGGTGAATGCTTTTTTGCTTGTCTTAGGCGAACACAAGTCTAGGATAGCTAGGATGGGCATGATTTGACTAATGAGCCCTTGAGATAAAGTAGCTTACGTAAAGTTTTTTAGCCAAACATGCAAACAAGCTATTGGTGGATCGAGAATGCTACTTGTACAATGTCCACTTACAATGTGGACTTACAGTCTGAGCTGGAAAGGGGGGAAATCTGTGAAAAACGAAAAAGGAACTTTGCTACAGGAACTGTAAAAATGGCGCCAAAATGGAAATATCACTTTCCAGCTCCTCTTTCAGAAGCTCTCCTCATACACCAGAAATTCTTCATAGAAAGAGCTGTCCTCCCTCAACAAATCTGGACGACTTCGTCGGAGACTAACCTTCTCGGCGACGGCATCCGGAGTACATTGTATCTACAAAACCACCAATAATTTCTGGCTTTTTTTGCCCTACACCGTCAGAGACTAACCTAACCTTCCCAGCGACGGCGTACCCACCCAGCTTGAGCACACGTTTTGCAGATGCATGCCAACACTTTCCCCAACAATACAACCAATTTAGCATAACAAAGGAAGCAACTGCGATTGACGTTGGAGACTACCATTTCATCTACTGGATTGTGTATCTCTCATTGAACAATCACTGGTAATAAGGTGAAATCTAGAAGTAACTTGGGGTTACATTTTTTGGTAAATGATAGATAGTTATTACATATAACAGTATTATGGTCATACATCCCTGACTTTTAGCCTGATTTCTATGAGAGAGTGGACCGACTTCTTTGGGCTTGAAGAAACAGTGCTGTAATTTCTAATAACATGTAGAAAATAGAACCATATGAACTATGTTAGGATGCCATATTTATAAAGTTCCAATCTTAAAAGCCTAATATTTACTGAAAATGAGATAAGAGAATCACTGAACCTTTTAGTCTCTCTAAAGAAGTTAATATCCAGTATCAGAGAAATTAGAAAAAGCTAGTCAATGCTGAGAATTCAGATCATATGCAATATGTCTCTCCCTCAACCATAACACACTTGCCATTTTAAGATATTCTGTCTGATAGTGTTGCTGCTGCTGTAATATAGCATTCCTAGAACTCTGTGAAGCAATTCATCTATGTAACTATGATGGATTGTCTATGACATTTCTTAGAATAGAAAGGCAAGCCAATCTGTTTAAATCTAATTCTAATAGGGTTAATACATAAAAGTAGCATTGTTGATAATGAAAGAGTACATTTTTTTCATAATCTGCATTTTTGTAACAATTTTGGGGTTATTGATTTTTTAATGGGAATTTTAATTTTGACGCAGGCTGTGTGGAAGCAGTGGAAGATGATGTCATAGTAGAATTGGAGCATGTGAATGTGAAAGACAATATGAGCGTATGTGTGGATGAAATGAGAGGAGGAGATGGTGGGATTGTGCCTCAAGTGGGTATGAAGTTCAAGGACGAAAATGAAGTTTACGAGTTCTATAAGAGATATGCATATGAGGTTGGTTTCCTAGTCAGGAAAAGAAATTCAAAGAAAGATGACGATGGGATTTTGCAATATGTGACGTTGACATGTAGTCGTGAAGGACGACGAAGCGGTTGTACGAGCAGCTCTTTGAAGCCGCAACCAACAATCCAGACAGGTTGTAAAGCCAGGATCTCTACAGCTTTCGATTATCAAGGTTTCTGGGTAATTAGAACAGTACACCTGGACCACAACCATAAGACAAGTCCTTCGAAGTCAAGGTTGTTTAGATGCAACCGAGAAAGAAGTGCACATGTGAAAAGGAAGATTGAAGTGAATGACCTGGTAGGGATTCCGTTGCACAAAAGCTTCAACTCTGTAGTTGTTGAAGCAGGAGGTTATGAGAATCTTAGTTGTGTGGAAAAGGACTGTAGGAACTATATCGAAAAAGTGAGGTGGTTAAAACTTGGGGAGGGAGATGCAGCAGCAATACAGTCTTACTTTTCAGAAATGCAAGCAGAGTGCTCGGGATTTTACTTCAGTATTGATCTGGATGAAGATTCAAGGTTGAGAAATGTTTTTTGGGCAGACAATCGATGTCGTCAAGCATATAAGGAGTTCAGGGACATTGTGACGTTTGATACAACATACCTCACTAATAAATATGATATGCCGTTTGTCCCATTTGTTGGCGTAAATCACCACGGACAATCAATGTTTTTTGGTTGTGGTTTGTTATCAAATGAGAACACAGATACTTTTGTTTGGCTATTTAGGACATGGCTTAAGTGCATGCACAGTCAAGCGCCTCATGGAATAATAACCGATCAAGACAGGGCCATGCAAAATGCAATACAAATAGTTTTTCCTGATACGAAGCACAGATGGTGTTTATAGCATATTCTAAAGAAATTGCCAGAGAAGTTTGGTTACCATGTGGACAAGGGATCTATATTTTTGGCTATATACGTATTGGTGTATGATTCGCAGAATGTCGAAGAATTCGAGGCCGGTTGGAAAATAATGATAGATAAATATGAGTTGCAAGATAGTGAATGGTTGTCAGGTCTTTACGAAAATAGAGGTCGATGGGTTCCTTGCTTTCTAAAAACATCATTCTGGGCCGGAATGTCATCAACACAACGATCTGAGAGCATGAATACCTTTTTCGATGAATATGTGCACTCGAAAACATCGCCGAAGTAATTTGTGGAACAGTATGAACGTGCACTACGGAACAAGGTGGAGGAGTTCCAAGCTGATTTCAAGTCATTTTCGCAAATGGTTCCGTGTGCAACGACGTATGAAATTGAGCAACAATTTCAGGCAGTATACACAATTTCAAAATTCAGGGAAGTGCAGGTAGAGTTAGCAGGGAAGGTATATTGTGACATCATATCTACGGCTGATGTTTATTCGGGGTCGACCTACGAGGTATGCGACGATGTGCTATGTGGGGATCGGCGAAAGAGAAAAAGATTCGTAGTGTTATTTAATAGGGAGAACTGTGACATTGTCTGCACTTGTCACTTGTTTGAGTTTCGGGGAGTTCTTTGCAGGCATGCAATCGTAGTACTCATCTGTAATGACGTCCGTGTACTCCCAGACAGGTATGTACTTCGAAGATGGAGGAGGGATGTTAGTAGAGCACACACTAGGATCGATGTTATCTACAGTGGGTTGGTCAGCACTCCCGGACAGTTGCGTTATGATAGAATGTGTCAGGCTTTCGCTACCATTACCGATCTAGCTGCAGAAGACGGAGGTCGGACCCATGCAATTATGGAATGGATAGGAATTCAAGAGAAGGAACTCATGAGTTCGAGGTTGATCAGTGGAAGCAATGTTCTACTGCAACGTACTACTCAAGTGTCATTGAACAACATAGGTTCGTAAAAGAATGTAAGTTGCACAGTACTGGACCCTAACGCGGTGAACAAGAAGGGTGCACCTAAAAGAGTTCGAAGAAAGGGCCCGTTTGAGTCAACGTCAAAGAAACCAACGGTAAGTTCGCGTGTTACCTTCTGAAGTGAAACGGATTCCTAACATTTATATCTCATTCTTTCGACTGTATGTGTAGGCTCCATCGAAAGGCAAAAGACCAACTGCTAGGCGTACTTATCCACCAGATGCTGCATCGTCCATTCAGGCTCATCAACAACATGATTCGTCGATGTCCATTCCGTTCTCCTACTCGCAACTCTTGTTGGTAAGTAACTTTAATTTATCCCGTTAGTAGGTTTGTTGTGTCATTTGCGCTTTCCTATTTTCATGTAGGGTGACCATGAAAGCCAAGTGTTTCCACAACAATTTCCGACTTCTACACCGATCCATCCGTCCTCGACCCATCCAACATTCAATTCTCAAGGTACGCATTTATATTAAACCACGTTCCTTTTTTCCTTTTTTTAATCCATAATTTGTTCTTACATTTATGTCGTCTTTTATAGTAGGTCATGCACATCCTTACTACTATCCAGAGGTATGGCGTCAAGGTGGCAATGAGTTTTGATCCAGTTGAATGCATTTTGTTATGTTATGGTCATCGGGGCAGATGTGAATCACCCGGGGTCGATGAAATTGTTGGCATTCCCGGCAGATGAGGAGACAGTGACTGCAGCAAAGTACGTGCAGCCTGGCATTCTGTATAACTAGTGACAGCTATAATTGCAAAGATGAAGATGCAAGGGTAAATGCTTCGAGCCATGATTGTTTGAAGATGGAAATTGAAGGTCTTTTGCTGATCAGCTGGGAGACAGAAGTTTTGAATTTGATGACAGAAAACAAACTGCGTTTGGAGTATTTATAGATGGAGTTCTCTCCCAGGGATGAAAATTATTTTTGATATTGGTGGAAATAGGTTCAGTTTGTTTATGAATCGAATTGGTTGTTTGGAAATTCTGAAAATGGCTGCTACATTGTTGTACTTAGTTAAATCTGTTTTCCTACTAATAATAGATAATATTTGATCAATGGAGACTTTTAATTGAATCTTCTGGTAAACAAGTGGCAAGTTTATGGATTAGTCCCTTGTGTTGTTAAACCACTAGTGGACATAGAAATTTTTATTACCTTTACTAGATACCAATAGATAAAATATGTTTTTCTATAAGTTTATTAGTAAATTATTTAGTATTGGTTGGTATTAGTATAACTCAATACTAAATTGTGTTGTTAAACCACCAGTGTATTTGTTAATTACAGTAACTCCACATGTGCTTCACCAGCTTCACCCAGAGCTGCTGAACATAATGTTTTTTGTCTGAATGGCCGTGTAATCTCCAGGTGAAGGAGATTGAACCAAAAATAAGCAACAAGATTGAACCAGAAATAATCTCAGAGCAATAATCTGTGGAATTAACACCAGAAAAAAGGAAACTATATTACATCTCCAAAGTTTAAAGTACATAGTTCTGTTGCATGCTAAAAACCTCTTCTCCTCTGCATCTACTGGATTGGAGGAGATAACAATAAAACCATATTGCAGCCAATAACATAGGCAGAGACAGTAATAGAAAATGGTAGAATTAGCGCATTGAATGAAAAATGCAAGGTTTGAATAGGCACACAATTCTATCCATTGCACTAATAACGAAAGGCATTACATCACGATAATATTGTTCAAACTAGACAACCAACAACCTAACATTGATTCTGCTAAAGCTAACACTGCTAACACAAACAAAAGATTTGATATAACTAAACACAAATGCACCGCCAATCAAGCCGGCCCCTTGCCCTTGGTGTTCCACTCGATTCTTGAATTTCCCGTTCAGATCGTCACGTTCACAGAAATGTGGAGTTCTTGTTCATCATTTAGCCGAACTTGCGACTGAAATATGCGGGACATATCATCAACTGAATCTATCGGATTCGGCTTCGGAAACATAACACCAACATTCTTGGCTTTGCCGCTTGATTCCCCTTCTTTGCACCACTCCCAGAAACCACATTTAAGACTGCAACATTTGAAGAATTTGCCTTTGTTGGCTGTAGCCCATTCTACCTCAAACCACTTCTGAAAACCTTGGTTACACATTGGACATTGGACTTTTATCGGGCATTCAGCAAAAAAGTGGGCTTTACTCCTACAGCTGTGACATACTCTGGAGTTCTTTCCTGGCATTCTACAATGGGAATGAAACACCAAAAACATAAAGTTATACGATGCATAAAGTTATTCTTTACATTAATCAAGTCTCAGCTATACACTTTGGAACATTTATATAGTTTCGAACATTAATGAAGTCATAGCTATGAAGCATTTCGAGCCCATAACCGTTTTGAACAAAACTACAAAATTTATGCACTTTGGAACATGAATCAAGTCTCAGCTATAGATATTTTGGGATACAAGAATAATATTAACAATCCACCACATTCACTCATCACACTAACAACGAAATTTATACAATAGCCAGAACAATTCTTCAAGAACCACTTGTATAAAAAAACATAGTTTCGAAAGGAAGTCCGAAAGCCGAACTCATCCAAAACAGGAAAATTTCCCAAAAGTTTAACTGACCCAGATAATCTTCAACAAGAACAATAACAAAATTCGTGTTGAATGCTAGTGTGTAGTACATCAAATGGCACCTTAAAGTTGTTCAAACCATGTACCTTCCTATCAAGCCCCTTTCCTTAATATTTTCGTCGAATTGATACTTCAAACCAAAAAATTGCTACTGCCGTTCACGACAATTGGGGAAAATTTGAGAGAGGGCTTTTTCTTCTAGCGTGGCGCCGGAAACCCTCTGACGATTCACCAGAAATTTATATACAATAGCCATTCACGACAAAAGGGGAAATTTTGAGAGAGGGGTTTTTCTTTCTAGCGTGTGTTTCGTCTCCTGTAAGAGTGAAAATAAGTACGAGTTAAAATAAGTAAGAGTTAAAATAAAAACTTTATTTGAAAATGCTCTTTTCCTTTTTTGCCCTTCCAGCTCAGATTGTAAGTCCACATTGTAAGTGGACATTGTACAAGTAGCATTGTTGATGGTCGGATAAATGACATTAGAATTAGAGATCCAAGGGTGTTTGTTGCAGTGGAGTGGGAAAATAGTACATGGCCGGCCCTGAATGGTTTCCCACTTTGTTCAAATTGTCATAGGAATTGAACAGATTGGGACAGTATTTTGTGCTAATAATATCTTGTGATGGTAATGTTTATTTACCAATAAAAGTTTCATTGGACCATTTTTCTTTCTTTTCTGTTACTATTGAAATTGGGTTAAATATATTATCACATTATTTCGTTTCAATTACTAAAATTTTTATTTTCTATTTCAAGTACCACTCCATCTACCATCACATACTGAACTAAAATGACGACACATGTGAACAATAGCTAGTGCATTATTTTATCATGAAACGAGACAAACACTCGTCTTCAATAAAAGAAAGTCGCATTTTTATTTTATTTTATTTTTTAACAAAATTTGAAGACATGACTTATCTAACAGTACAATTTTTTGGTAATCAAATTATATAACACTGTAAGTTAGGTGAAAAACTATGTCGTTTTAGTCTACTAAAGTTGATTTGACCTTTAACTTCATGATTGTTCGTGTTCGAGGTTTTGTGTTTGGGACTATGGAAGAATAAGGCCTTTTAATTCTTCATGGAATGATGAAATGTAGATGACTAATCATTTTCATTCACATGAAACTAAGGAACCTTTTAAGATTCCTATAAAATTATTGTTCACTTTCCTCTCATCGTGACGGAGATGATCTAATTTTTCGATAATCGAGTTACATTCAAAATTCTTGAAAGAGGGTACACCGGCGTTTACTAATTAAAGTTACACAAAATATGTTGAGGATTAATAAGATTTCTCCAAAAATTGTATTATTTTTTATTAGACTCCCTTGCAAAGATTGCTTGAAATTCTAAGCAAAAGATATTGCTTTGAAAAGTCTTCTAGGTTGACATTATTGGCCGCCAAATACTACGTGTTATGCCTTTTCCAAAAAGGCCATAGATACGTCCCACGTGGACAAAACCCACGTATGCGAATCAGGTGGCAAAATCTTACGGCCAGACCTCGTGGACAAACCTATGTTGTGATCGAACCCATGCTATAGCCAAACTTTTGAGGCTGAACCCCTTAATTTCTTCATCTCCACACTCAGATTATCGGAAACAAGTTCTTGAGTTGGTTTCATTTTGGAACTTGAAAATGGAAGAAATTTGAAATAGAAACTTATTTGGTACGATTAAAAAGTCAATTAAAATCAATTTTTTACCGTTATTTCACTATTACATCCGTCATTTTTGAATTATTCTCTCAACCCACTTTATCTCTAACGATCAAAAAATCAATTATCAAAATCTCTATCAAACAAGCACTAATTGGGTTTGATTTCAGAGAGAGAAATTGTTTTTTTTTTTTAATTTCATTTCCCTATTTTAATGACAGTGAAATTGGTATGACTAATTGTTTGACTTCAACCAAAGACGGGGGGGGGGGGGGGGGGGGGTTCATGATAGGAGGTTAAAATCACATGAATGAGGTCATGTGTCTTCTTATCCGACTGTTTTTACTCACTCTCTTAAATTATAAAAGCTCACAGTGAATGCCATTGAAAGATAATGCGAGTTTAGACTTTGATACTATAACTTTGCTCTCCCCATTTTTCATTTTACTCCCAATATCGATCCCATTTTTACATTGGAGGCTTACATTTAAAGTCTTCCCACACTCATATTTCTTCTTCCCAAACTGATTTGACCGTCGGAATACATGCTGTCGACTCCACCCCACTGTTGAAAGCTATGTGTAACTAACGGTTTGTCCTATCGTGCAGGAACACGGTTTGTTTACACGTGAAAGGTTTTGGAATCTATTGGTCACTTTCGAGGTATATTTTTGAGGTCAACACTATGTTCATTTGTTGAACTCTTTTCTACAAGAAGGCATTACACAAATGAAGAATCAAGAAACAAAAACAATACATAACAAAAGATTAGAACAAAAATACCCTATTTAGTAGAGGGGTTGGTGCAGTTAAAGAAAGTACGTCCTCTCTCATTCTTTGGCTTTTTGGATAAGAAAAGCCCCCATTTTTATTTCTTGCTAATACCATTCTTAATTCTTCATATACCCTTCTTCAAACTTTCCAAGAGCTCGGGTCAAATTGCTATTTTCTCCATGGAGGACTCAAACTCAAAGCCATGGATTCCTTCCACAGCAAATTGTTGCTCTGTGGAAGATCATGCGATTTTTAGAAACTTTAGCTGTTTAGCAGGTGCAGGCCATCTAGGTCTGATTTTTCCATTTCCAAGAATGTTGCATCATTACCTTCATTTCGAAGGTTGTCATTTTCCGACCCTAGTACAAGGTTTTATTCTACAAGGATTAATGAAGATCTTCAACAGTCTTTTGGACAGGATTTGTATGAGTTTCAACTTAGCGAATTACGGGGTCTTACTTAGAATTTTTCGAGCAATTTATTGTTAAGTGAAGGGGGTTTGGGAATTGGGACTGTGCATAAAGGGTATGTTGATGATAGTTTAAGGTCAGGATTGAAGGCTCAAGTTATGGCCGTTAAGTTTCTTGATATTGAAGGGCTTCAAGGGCACCGTGAATGGCTTGTAAGAGTTGCTTCACATTTTCTTTTAAATTTTTGTCTAGGTCTTGGAGTGATTTAATTTGGGTCAGTTTCAACTCAAATCTGAAATCAAAACCAAATTAATCAGTTTGGGCGAATTTCAACTCAAACCAACTTACTCTAGCTTTTAAATCAAACCAAATCAAAACTAAATCAGTTTGGTTTGGATCGATTCGTTTAGTCGGTTTGGACTTTTCGTCCAAATTGATTTTTTTTAAAAATTGTCCGAATTTTGAGCTCATTTAGATTACAAGAACTAAAATAATCAAATAATTTTATATTACAAAAATTATTAACTAACAAATAAAATCATATTAATAAGGACAGATTAATAGAGAATTTAAGAATTTTGTTGTTTTTTATATATTATGTAGTCTGACTGCCTGAATAGGGAAAAATGTTAAGTATAATATAATGAACTTGTGAAAGAAAATTCTCAGTGCTATTATTTACTGATAACATCATAGATTGAAGGAAATCGAAATATAGTTATGAGATTATGGCTTATTTTTTATTTTTATTTTTCTTAAATTAAAAAAATAAAGGGTAAACATATAAGTAGGTTGGGTTGGTTCGGTTAACCAACGGTTTGAGATTTCCAACCATGACTAAACCGGCCTACTATGATTTTGTTTAAAAGAAAATCAAACCAAATCAATTACCCGTGTCAAACTGACTCGAGTCGTTCCGTTGGATTGGTTTGGTTGAATTTTTGATTTTTTTGCCCAAGCCTATTTGTGTCTATCACGGCGTCGTTGGTTGATTATTTTCATACGATTTAGAGCACAATTGACCTATTCGAAAGTAGTTTTCCTTTTTTCATTTTTTCCCCTCTAAGAGTACGTAAATACATATTGTTAAAAGAAGTTGGCTATTAAGTATGACCAAACTTGCTTTATTTGTAACGTTTCATCTTAAGATATGGCCATGAGAGGATTAATCTTGAAGTACTTTGGATACATAATTAGTTTTACATCTTTCTCACATAGTATAAAGTATATATGTAATGATTTGACTAACTAGGGATACATTTGTTACATCAAGCTACATATATATAAGCAAATTACCTCGATCCCTACCTTTCAAGTTTCAATTTCACAAATCAAGTGTTTATTCTCATTCAGAAGTCAAAGTATACACACTTCACCCCATCAGCTTCAAAAAGAATCAAGATATGCATCCCACCCACTTCACCTGTTGATCCAAAACAAAGCACCAATGTGTAGAAGAAAGGCATGGGATGGAGGTGGTGGTGGAGTGTGATGGAAGAAGGGGTGGAGGAGAGTGGCGGAGCAGGACGACTTCTTCTACAGTTTGTCTACAGGAGTGTGAAGGAGGTGGTGATTGAGAGTGGCGGAGAAGGGTGTCTGCTTTTGCGATTTGCCTGGAGTGTGATGGAAGTCATGATGAGGAGAACAGCGGGAGAAGCGGTGGTTTGCAACTAGTCCAAAGATTAGGAGCAAATAATTATCATACTTGTCACAATATTATTATAATTTTGTGGAATTTGGAAGTGTAGATTGAGCCATGTTAGTAATGCAGCTGGAGGTGTAAAACGTATTGTGTTGTGTACAGTCGTGTTAGCATGAATTGATTTTAAGACCATATCTACATGACCCTTTTTTATTGCGTCGGGCCTGAAATTTTTTGGGTCCAACTTTGGGACGATGAGGCTAAGCTATAAACATGAAGTCAAATGATACTCCATAATAGGAGTTGTTATCAGAGGTAGAACTAAGATTTACATCTAATGTGAGCCTAATTTAACTACAGAGAAATTTTCAAACACAAAATACAATATATCAAAAATTAAAAAGTCATATAATTCTTTTACCCCCAAATTTCAATGGAATCAAGGACGTCCTATTGGCACCACCTAGCTCCGCTGCTGGTTATTATGGGCAAAAGGCCATGCGGAGCCAACAGCTTTCTCAGAAGGGGACGCTATTGTTATATAAAGGTTTATCCATACAAACTTACACGAAACATGAGAATATGTATTATATATATATACAAGCGCGAATCCAGGAGTTTGAGTAAGCATGGGCGGTCGTTGACCATCTACCACCGGTCGCAATAAAATATTAAGAATTCGTTTGATACCCTTTTTTTTAATAAAAAATACATTTTGGAACAGTGATTTTAAAGAGAAAGTGTGGCTAAAAATAAAGAAAAGTTTTGAATTTGCGTATAATATTATTTTATTAAAAAATGTGAATGAAAAGAAGAGAGAAAAAATGTATTTTAAAAAAAAAGGGAATTGAATAAGACCTAAAATTTAAATATAACAATTATTTTGTTCAAATTGAACATATATAATTTTGTTATAAGAATAAATAGGACTCGTCAAATGACATTGTTGCTAAATTTTGTATAATTTAGAGGAAGAGTGCGGATTCTAATATT